CCAACCACGTTAGGGTTATAACTCAAAGACTCTCAAAGTAATCCATGCTAAGAGCTTCTACGATGTCATCTCAAAGCAAGTGCTTTTAACTGCTAAAGATGTTTGACCATTTCTTGTCTCTTATCTCATACTGAATAATAAACTAATGGGATAAAGCAGTTCTTTCTTAGTCAAATCTACCACTGAAGTGCCCTCTTTTAAGCAAATTTCTGGTGTTTTTAATAACCTGTTAGTGTTAGCATGCACTACCGAATAAATGAACAGAATTTTTTGAAAACTATTTCTTTACTGTCTATAAAGACCAGGAGGGCAACCCTATTAAGTCTTACTCAGTAGTGGCTTCAGCATAGTGCCAATGTAACAGGCTCTGATAATTTCATTAAATGAATCATTATCTCTTAGCTGGCTTTTTTAGAACCCCAAAATCAGCAAACACTTGTGACCTGAAGCTACTGTTGGATATGCCTGCCACAGACATGGTGACTGGGCAGGTGTTAAACCACACAGTCAAGAAGGATGCAGTTAAAGAGAAGAGGACCTATAAGGAGTGAGGACTCTAACTAAGGGAATAAGCTCTTAACATGATGATGCAAATTATTTTTTTTTCTCCTATCCTCTTGACCAGGAGTTACTTGGCAAACATCTTCTAAAAAGAGTCAAACAGTAGATCATTTTCAGTTTTGTTAAGCCATACATTCTATTACTCAACTCTGCCACTCCAGCATTAAAAGCAGCATAGATGATACGCAAATGTGTGTGGCTGTCTTCCAGGAACTTTACTGACATTGAGAGTTGAGTCTTATAATATTTTCACATTTACTATTCTTTTATTTATTATTTTACATTATTGGTATTATTAAATAGAATGTTATTATTTTACTCCTTACTCAAAATTTAAAAAGTAAAAACCATTCTCAGCTTAGAGGAGTCAGCCCCCAGGCTGCAGTTTAATAACTCTGCATAAAACAGGACTCCTCAGAATTAGCCTTCATTAGTATCAACCCCTTTAAAATATAAGCAAAACTATTAGGGGCATGGCAGGTAGCCATCATATATAGTGACTTCTGGCCAGATGATCTTCCATGAAAAGTTTAATGACTTTCTTTTCCTTTTCAATGAGGGCTAAAGAATTAAAGGAGATCTATTATTAAATGAGTGCACTAATAATCAACGAACACTCACAATGGTTTGTACTACTTTAGCCACATCCACCACAGAACTAGTGGGAAAGCTGCTGCTATTGCTGATGAGTGCTATTAAATGAAGTTGGACTCAGAGAGATGTCATGTGGCAGAAGGGCACTGCTCTACTGCTCTGGCGGGTTTCTGGCGGGCATCTTTAAAGGAACAGAGAGACCCTGAAAAGCAGCTGGCTGGTGCCCATCACTGACCATTGTAGTACTTCAACACTACACCAGGGTTCCTTTAGGCTGGCTAGGAGAATGGAAACAAAACAAAATAAAGCACAAGCAAACCTACTGGCCGTGTTTTCCCCTTCCTCTGTTGGCTGAGAAAGAGAATTAATTAATTAAATACTCAGTTATTGAGTAATTTTAAATGGCCTACCACTCTAAATCTGGAGAACAACCACTTGGCCAAGTGACTGGAAGAGATCTATATTTGTTCCCATCCCAAAGAAGGGTGGCCCAACTGAGTGTGGAAACAACAGAACAATATCATTGATTTCACATGCAAGCAAGACTCTACTGAAGATTATCCAGAAACGACTGGACCAGTACATCAACAGAGAACTGCCAGAAGTCCAGGCTGGGTTTAGAAGGGGTCGTGGTACTAGGGATATTGTAGCTAATGTTAGATGGATCTTAGCTGAAAGCAGGGAATACCAGAAGAATGTCTATCTGTGTTTCACTGATTACGCAAAGGCATTTGACTGTGTGGATCATAACAAACTGTGGCTGACTCTAAGAAGAATAGGAATCCCAGAACATTTAATCGTGCTAATGCGAAACCTATACTTGGACCAAGAGGCAGTTGTCAGAACAGAGCAGGGCAACAGTGCATGGTTCAAAATTGAGAGGGGTGTACAACAGGGATGTGTCCTATCTCCATACCTTTTCAACCTGTATGCAGAACAGATTATCCGAGAAGCTGGGCTCTATGAGGAGAAGCGTAGCATTAGGATTGGTGGAAGATCTATCAACAATCTGCATTATGCAGATGACACAACCCTGCTTGCTGAAACTGAGGAGGACCTGAAGCACCTGCTGCAGAGGGTCAAGGACTGCAGCCTTCAGTATGGACTGAGGCTCAGTGTCAAGAAGACAAAGATTCTCACCACTGGACCAATCGGTAGCATCAGGATGGATGGCGAAAGAGATTGAGATTGTTCACAGCTTCAGTTTGCTCAGCTCCACGGTCAACACTCTTGGCACCAGCAGCCAGGAAATCAAAAAACGTATTTCTATGGGAAAGTCTGCAGTTAGGGACCTCTCTAAAGTACTCAAGAGCAATGGTGTCTCTCTGGAGACTAAGGTGCATCTGATACAGGCCATGGTTTTTGCAATCACTTGCTATGCATCAGAGAGTTGGACAATGACTAGGGAGGATAGAAGGAGAATTGACGCCTTTGAGCTGTGGTGCTGGAGAAGAGTACTGAATGTTCCATGGACTGCAAAGAAAACAAACAGATTCATCCTAGAGGGGTTAAACCAGGCTACTCCTTGGAGGCAAGGATTCTGGGGCTTCGTCTGACATACTTTGGACATGCTGGAAGGAGAGACAGGTCCTTGGAGAGGGTCATCATGCTTGGTAGGATAGAGGGACAGCGCAGGAGGGGAAGACCCTCTATGAGGTGGATTGATTCAGTGACTGGGGTAATCGGGATGGGTGTGTCACAGGCAATGCGATTGGCACAGGATAGAGCAGGGTTTAGGGCTGTTGCACATAGGGTCGCTATGAGTCACAAACGACTCGACGGCACATAACAACAACCACTCTGAAATGCCTACTTGGCAAATCATTATTCAGGTAAACAATTTTCTTATTAGCCATCTTTAAAAAAAATTATCAGTTAAATAAAGAAACACAGAAACTTGTAGCTCTTTCTAAATACCAGTACCACCACCACCACCACCACCTCACTACATACAAAGTCAGGTAAGTCAGGTACAAAGACAGCTTGTTTTGTCTAATGTAATTTTCAACACTTTATTGATTTTTTATTCATAAATAAAATATGGGGAAAATCAACTTTTCTTCTCCAAAAACATGCTTCAAAATATGCTTCATTTACAGATATTTCCAAAGATTTACATCAAAATTTTCTATCATAAAAGGTCCTTTGCCTGTATGAACAGGTTATGATTTTAAACTGTGTAAATCTACATTCTGAATGGAAAAATACTAACTAAAGAAAATAACTTTTGAGAAAAATCTTATTTAAAAAAAAATTTGTCATATAACTAATTTAAAATGATCCTTTCTATCCTGAATAGTCACAACAAAATGTTTAAGTGCAGTTTGCTGATTTTTCTCTGCAACTATTTGAAGCCGTAAATGACTTAACTCTGTAAAATTCCAAATGTAATTATCTTCTGTACTTAGCCTAGGGCTCTCCATATATCTCAACATTGCTGTCTTGCATACAAAATAAGCTTTTCGATGACTGGTAATAATATAATGTACAACATTGTTTTAATTTCCCCGAGTCGGCTAACCTCTTGCCTACACTAAACCAGCCAAAGGAAGAAGCCACATGAGTCATCAAGCACTCAAAAGCATTCTGTAACTCAGTTTCACAAATGGGGTTTGTAGGGTCAGGCTTTTACAATTGTACATTTTAATAATCTCCATTTCTGGCCCAATTTTTACTTTTTGAAACTAATTTTCTATTAGTTATATACCAAGAATGGAATTACTGTTCAAATATGGTGGTTTATCAGCAAGTTACATAAGGAAGCAAAACCACACTAAAAACATTTCCTTATTCCCTTAAAGCAGGATACAAAGACAACATGCAGTTTTATTCTCTAGTCAGACTATGCATTTGATAATGTCCAATGGAAATCCACATATAAAATTATATGTTGTTGTTATATGCCATTGATTCACCTGCAACTCATAGTGACCCCATGTACAACAACCCTAAACCCTGTTCTATCCTGTGCCAATCTTATTGTCTCTCACAAACCTACCCCTATTACCTCTATATACACACACACTGCACATTTATATTTCATGTATATATGTGTACAGGTAAATGAATAAATGTGCACAGTCAACAAACTATAATTCTCAATCACGTACAGAAAAGAAAGGACAAGACAAAATGAGAAACAGATCCAGGTATAACTTCTAGTTTAACTACAAAACATACCTGCATATTTCTACTCAGTCTCGTTTACAGTCACTCTCTCTGGTCACATTCATTCGTTTTTAATCTCACTCTCCAATTCACACTAATTTCAGGTTACAACAGCAACTGGTGGCCTACTAGCAAGAAGCTGTGCTGCAATCCCAAAGGCATGCATGCAGTTCGAGGCCATCAGCTGCTCCATAGAAGGATGAGCAATTTCCTCCAGTGCAATTAACATGTTGTCGCACACTTTTAGATTGAAGACTGTGCTTTTGTACTTTCTTCCATGTGTTACTGTCACTTGTGCCAACGTGTTAACAGCCTCTAAAAGCCTGACGGAGGGTCAATTATGGCTCAGTTCTAAGTCATCAGTAAACAACAACAGCAACTTAGATGACTCAAATCACAATAAATATCGTCAATGTTAAAAAGAAGAAAGGCAGAGAGAGATGTGAAAGTAGTATCCAAGAGTTGCCTTCAAACACACAAACGCACAGAACTCTGAAATACTTTAGCAGCAGTTCTAAAAAATGAGTTGAATTGGAACTTTTCTAAATATTTTTTAAATTAAATCACTACAATGACATCGTTTGAATGATGAGTGCACAGGAACTGACTATAGAGAACATTATAGAAACTCAGGTTTAGGAATACTAAGGCAATATTAAAAATAAACATGGTTTTAC